GTAATTTGTCAGCTTCCCTTACTTGTCTGGGTATCTAACATAGCAACAATGGAGAGAAAAAAAAACAAAAGTTAGAAAAAAATATCAATGATTACAAAACCGCACAAATTAGTAGGCAGACTGTAGTACCTGAAACTATAAATATTTATAAATATTTCACTTCTCAGCAACTGAGAACCTTGAAAGTCAGATATTCTTTTGAGAAAGTGATGCTGTAAAATAGCATATGACCATTCTACTCTTGCACAACTATCACATGTATGCACAATTTATAGTCAAATCCACATGCATTATCCAACATCAGTTTTGGCCACAAAGTAAAAAAGTCCACATGCACAAAACATTATGTTCATATATCTGATGTAAGTGACTCATCTGAGCTACCTTTTTATGTAGACTCAGATTGTCACTCCAAGTTAGACTTTTGCCCTGCATATAGATATCCGATCTTCATTCAATGTTCTCTCTCCTGACGTAGCTCAAATACAGAGAGCAGCTCTACAATCACACAGTAGATTCCCTGGGTAGCAGGAGCTAGTCTGATAGCGTAATTTTTTAAAACCAGTTTATAGCACTGGGCAAAACTTTAAAAAATGGTTATTTAAAGTTAAGCTCCTAAGTTTATATTTCAGCACCTAACTCAAAGTAGCCTGATTTTTAAAGGCTTCTGAGTATCCACAACACCCACTGCAATCAACGTTAGGCTTCCCAAAGTCTGAACATTTTGGGCAGGGCTTTTCTAGCTTAGGGTTAAATCACTGCAGAAGGGTTTGTAACAGTACCGACATAGCCAGTCTTGGCCAAAAGAATCTGTTGGCTGAGCAGTACAAGATCTGTTGCCTTTCTCCCATTACAGAAAAATAAAAACACTATTTCAAACAAAACCTTTATTATTGAGAGGAGGGGCAATTAAATTCTGGAGTATTAGTAGTGGAATCTAGTGTGATCTAGATTCCAGCCCACTGAACTACAGCACCAGTAAACAAATGTTTTATTTAACTAGGGGGAAGTATTTCATCATGAACAAAACACGTTAAGGTCTAATCTCATTTTGCCATAATCAAAAAGCACACTAAACAAATGAAAATAATACATGTCCTGGAACCTTAGGGACCAGTGTCAGACAGATGGAAAACATTTGAAATCTCTTTAAAATGTGGCACAAGTATGTCAAGGTAATCATTTCCCTCCCCCTCCCCCCATCATAAAACCTTCAAAGACAGATCGTGCTCATGAGAAAAGCATTTTTCATGCTTTTCTTTCATCCCCTGAACTAGAAGTAGCAATAAACCTTTAAGTATCGAAAGAAGAAACTGGTACAACATGGAACAAATATGTAGAGACAAAAGCATCAGGATCTCCTCAGTTAGTAAAATCCTTACAGAGAAGTAAAGAAACTTGACACTAGACAATATTGAGGCAGAAGAAAAGCTACATATGCATGCAGCATATTTAAATTCAGTACAGCACTCTTTTGCTTCCAATAAGAGCAGCTTTATTTGGATTTCTGATTTTCCTGTTTCCAATAAACTTTTGACAACTTCCATTAAAAACAACAACTTTTTTTGTAATGCAAAGTAAACAGAGAAGAACTCAGTGCTTTATCCATTAGGAGAGAACAGACAGCATAATGTGTTATGGTTTTGGCACCACTAGTTATGTTTTCAGCTCCTATCACCTCAACCTGCTGTTTATTTAGGGTTACATAAAATGTCAACAAACAATGCTACCCAAAATGCTATTCAAAACCAATGCTACTCAAATCAAGTGAGGCCCTCTCGTGCTAAGCCAAATGTATTTGCAGATCTCTGCGCACTGGTGATTGACAGAAATAAGTCTCAGTAAGGAGGGGTCATATTTATATTTCACCAAGCTTATTTAAATATTCCCAGAATGAGAAAAAAAACCCATCAGGTAATGCAATGCACAAAAGTTGTAAGCACATTCTGGATACTGCAGTAAGTAACCAATGTTTTTGTTACAGTCAAGTATCAAGTGACTTACATAGGCATAGACAGGCATGGCATAGATAGGTAGGCATTTTTATAGAAAACTGTAAAAATATCAAATGAATGTATATGAATGCCCATCTATTACTCCTCTCCAGCTGGAAAATAAATCTGACTTTAAAATTGTAGTGTTCAAATGAATGCTTTGATAGTTCATTTGAACAGGACATACTTTCCACATGATCAATCACGTTTTATTTCCATTTAAAGTATTATACCTAATTATTGTCCTGGTAAAATTGAGTTCCTTTCCTTTTAACTGCTTTGATTGTTACCTTCAGGAAAAAAAAAATTAAAAAAAAAATCACATCCCAAGCTGTTACAGTACACAAAATAGACAATATGTTTGAGGATAATAATTTGGACATCCAATAGGTTATGCGGAGGTGTTCTTGTACAGTATCTGTAATTTGCACACCATAGAGGAAAGGAAATTGTAAGCTGTGATTTGTTTAAAATTATAATTCATCATACTATATTATCTGCCAATATCCAATTCTGAGTCCCCCACCTCAGACCAAATTTGCATGCAAGTCAGAGTTTACCTGAGGATCAAAACACTGAAACAGCAATATAACAAACTGAACTAATCGGGTGGGGTTTGTTTCTTTCTCTCACACCCACAGGCAGACACACTTTCACAGCGAACATCTAAAATCACCAGGGGATGCTTCTACATAGCATACATTTGGCAAGGCACCGCAGTGACCCTCCAAATGTAAGTACTGGGTCAAATTTTGCTCTCAATGGCTCCGTCCTGATGGGCAAAAAAGGGTGCAATTTTCAATCACGTTAGCTCAATACAACTGAAAAGTCCTTTTAACGCTCATTAAGGCACAGGATAACAGTTTTGAGGGCAGGTTTCAGCCTGGCCTAGACTAGTAAATTTTGTCTAAACTAGGATTTAAAGGTGTGATGTTAGCACGTTAACCAACATGCTAGCTAACATATCAGAGAAGTCTAGTATGGATAAGGCACTGGGTTTAGCATGTGCTAAACTATTCAAGTTATAGCCTAGACTTTTCAAACACAGTTAGCACGTTAGCTAAAAACTTACTAGCATTACACCTTAATTCCTAGTCCACACAAGACTTAAGTGTCATATAACTCGCAATGATTAGTAATGGATGTAACTGGACAGCAAAATTTGGCCAGTTATCTTTAATTAAGAACTGAGTTGATGTTGACAATCATTCTTAAATGAAGTCCAGATTCATATTTCCCTATAGTAAGATTCTGGGGGGAGGGGAAAAAGTCTATCAATGCAGATAAATAGTAAGCCAGCAAATATAAAATAAATAAAAAAACTTTAGTATTTGCTTTTCAGTACCTATGCATCAGAAGTAATGTATACCTTTAATTTGTCAAACAATTAGGACACATTCCAATTTGCCAATTTCAACTTTAGTACCATGCATTCAAGTATATTTTTAAAAATATATATCTAAGTCAGTAAGGACAAAGAATTCAATATCCACATTACCAAGCTCATTAATACAAGATAACAAATTTGAGTTATTTTGTGCTATGAATTGTATTTTTATTTCCAAACGTGTAATCTCAGAGGCAAAGACTTCAGGTAATTGTGCTATTTAAATATTTCTATGGTTACGTTCAGTCAGTACAGATGCAAGACCTGCACATGCCACCTTTGATATAGGCTTGATCCATTTCAAGAACTAGAGGAAGCGAATTGAAACACATAAGGCTCAGTCACTCCTTCGATATATGAATGCACTGTTTCTAAATAAATTGATTTGATCAGCCAGTTGACAAATACTGTGAGTCATACTCAAAAGCCTAGACAACAATATTTGTGCACTCTTGAAAGAATTCTTATGCTATGCAAGCATTTACCTGACTATATAGCTTGTCTTTTTACACCCGTCAGGCAGTCGTTTGGTGCGGAGAAATAAAGAAATCTAACTTGCTTTTTCCCGCATTGGAAAAAAAAGGGCTTGTGAATCAACTATTTCTGATTAGCAAACTAGTTAGGGCTTGCACCTTCTAATTTTACTCGACAATTGATAACCCGTGTGCACACACTTCCGCAGAGAAGGATTTTTCAGCACAGCAAACCCATGTAAAACATCCCAAGTGTCAGAATACCAGAGTTAAAAGTAATGGGTAAAAATTTGCAATTTCCTGTAGCCCCAAGTTTAAACTTGTAGTAAATAAGTTCTTAATTTATTAATTTTAACCTTGTTTTTGTTGGAGAGGATTCAGAGGAGGCTGTGATATTTCTTAAATGCCAACCTAAAAATTAGATGTATAACATCTGCACTAAGACCCTAGACTTGGAGGGACATGCTCAGAACAGGAAATGGTAGTTTGTTAATAAAGAAAGGTAAATCATTTTCCAAACTTCCGGCAGCAAACCTAGCAGTGAAAGAATTTTGACCTCAGTGGAAGGTAACTGCCACAAGTGACATATCAACTAAGCAACTTTCTTCTTAAAGTGAGGCAAATGTTTTACATAAGGCTGGAATGCTTTCAGATCTGTCACTCCCTGTAGCATATTCTTCTCCTTTTAACAAATAATCATACAAACTCCTTGAACTAACCGTATTAACTGTCCATTATTCCCCTGAGTATTGAGCCTGTGGAAGCCAAACCTTTTTGTGAACTAGTATTACTTATTTCCTATTTAAAGCACAAAAAGCTCATCACTTAACAGGATAGGCCAGTTTTCAGTGTTGATTATTCCTAGTCTGGAATGAGTTCGTGCATTTTCCTATGTTCATTTTCGTCTTATGTTATGCAAATAGCATTCATACCATTTCTGTAAGGGTAAGAAAAATGCATCATTTTCAGCTCTAGAAATAACATTTAAAGTTTTCATTAACCTAAAGTTCTTAAATCAATTTATTATTTTAGCCACACGTTTCTTTGAACTTTCCCCTTTAAAACAAACCAACAAACCCCACAAATCAGATTTTCCAATTCAGAGCAATAAAGATAAAGGGGGGAAAAAAATGACAAGCAGCCCAGTTTAATTTCAAACGTTAATATATTTTCTATTTTATAGTGAACATATGCATCTGTCACCCCTTATTTGCAGCAACTATGACGTCCTCATAAGAAGGGGTGACATTTGTAAGATGCCTCTTAAAATAAATATTTCTTTTTTATAAAATAATAAAACTTCAAATAAATATTCTTTACACTAAACAATATGTTGAAAAAAAATTAGAAAATAAAAGCTGAATTTTACTGAAACTGTACAATATACATGAAGTCCAAAGGGAAATCAGAGACTTGTAATAGAGGGTTTCCATCAGGCAAAAAATACAATCTAAAAACATACTGATTGATTCACATTCTTCTGAATGTACAACATATTAGTATAATATTTTGTGACAGTGCCATGTTCTATGACACGACTTGTTTTTCACAGTTGAAAATATTATCGTATATACAAAAATATAGCACATTATCTCTGGCAGAAAACAATAAAAAAGGAGTCATTTGCTAATTTACAAATTTTGCAAGTACTATTCACAAACAATAGTCACCTAGGAGTGTCTGTGTTGCTTTAGCTTATGCAATATATGGGTCACAAAGTACTGCATCCCATATTTGAGCTCCATTAGCTGGGTTCTAACAAGCAGATCAGTTAAGATGGCACACATGCAGAAAAGCAGTTCACTGCAAACAGCAAAGTATACCCCCAACCCTTCTACTAACAGTGCCAAGGTTATAGCTGTTTAGTTGGTTGCATATGTGTGTTAGAAGAATCCTTATAACTTTAGTATTCCCGATTAGTGATGCTATGTTGGCTTTTCAAAGTTCCTGGGGGGAATACTGGGAACTTTGCAACAAACTGTGTTTGAGTGTTTACAGCGGCATCCGGGCCTGTTTACCCGGTCATAACACCCCTGGCACAATTTAAGGCAACCCTTGGCTGGTAAGTAACACCACAAGCAAGGCAAAAAGAGGGATACAACACCCATGGCAGACCATCTAGTGCAGCAATGTGACTGACTGCAAGAGCATGGGTTGTCAGCACAGTTGTCCTCATCATCATTAGAGCAGTGATAGAAGAGGCATTTCACACAGCAAACACAAGTCCCATAATCAACCACATTCTGGGCTGAGCAAAGACACTGCTTGTCACAGATCCAACAGGATGGCAGGGTCCTTGGAGAAGTGCACTCCTTACACTTACATTTTCCACAGTCCTCACACCTATAGGCATGCATGCCCAAGTCTTCTTTGCTCAGGGGCTTCAGATTGCTTGTCTTGAACTCAGACTTGGGCTGCACCCTGATTATCCCATCAGCCGTTGGCCCTGAAGATGATCCTAAAAGTCTGTGTTCAGATGAATTACTGCTTGTACTTGTCCTTGTACTGCTCGGTGAACCTGTGCTGACCGTACTGATGGAACGGGACAGGGGTGCCCGGGAGGAAGTATGTACCTGTGCATGTTGGACCCTGGTAAGATGACGATGTTCAGGCAAGCCATGTGGTCTTTCGTTTTTGTGCTGGCTAGCTGGACGAGGGACAGGTTTAACCCCTGGTCGCGGAGCCACTGTAGGTCCCTCTGTGTACTCATTTGTATTTCGGATGGCCCTGATCTGGTCCAGTGACAACACATGAACCTGCTGTGTCAGAACATCCCTCAGGTCAGAGTCTCCCTGCTGCCTCCCACCGTCATGCCGAACCTGTAGCAAAGACTGGGACCCACTGCCATTCTGAGCTCTTGTCTCCATCAGTATCCGGAAGAATGGTCACTCCAGCAGGCTTAGAACACATCTGAACTCCTGTAACAACAAAGAGAAGATTCACTATTGTATCATATTGTACATTTGCAAATTGTCTTTCCTCCTGAATGATCCCGGGGCATTTTACTAATTAAATAAGTACACCACCATTAAAATGGAGCCACATTAAAGGTGGAGAGCAGGAGTCAGACTTGGTAAGTACTCTGTACCTGTCTGATTTTGTTAAAGAGACTCTTATTTTTACTAAACGCACTCAAGGATATTTTTCTCCATCCATACAGAACACAGACGTTTTAGGTTTTTAAGAACTCATCATAAAGATCCGCATCCAGTAAACAGCACAGAACTCAGTTTAATCTATAATGCAAGGAGAGAGGTTTTTGCTGACCCTGGCAAGACTTTAACTTGTGATTCCAGGAAATCTAGGTATTTAAAACCTGAGACTGAGACCTCCCAGTCATCCTCTGGCTAGACCATGGATTTTAACATAGCCACTTAAAGTGACTCTTCCTTTCACATAACACTATTAAAAATACATGTTACACAAAGAACAGCTACAAATATTTTAGCAAGTGTAATGTGACCTGCTGACGACAGACATTTAATTCTTCAACTTTATTTAAAACTGGGTAATATTTTGGTAGGCTAGTCTCTTTACACATTAAACTTAAACTACAATTTCCTATTTACATCATGTTAATACCAATGGTCCCAAGAAAAACACCAAACAGCAATAAAATGTTTGAGGTTAGATGCCAGTGAGTTAGTGCTACCAAAAATGTCAACTGCAGAAGTAAAAAAGGTCTCTTTCCAAGATTGTCAAGTGTGTCATACTTGTATACTTCATGACAGCTGTTATTTTATTTCCTATTAAATACCACTGCAGAATTGTTTTTACATTTCAAACTATCTATAGATTATAATTCAAATATTGGGCATGACGAGAAAATACACAACAATTTGTGGAACAGAAATATGCAGAATACAATCTAAACACTACAATCCAAGACGACTATACGTCTCTAAGTAATTAAGAATGGAAGTGGGCTTAAGAAATTCAGTGGAACCCCAATAAAACATGCATAAAGTTAAGGAAAATCAGTGTATGACTAGCATCATAAGCTTATAATATTCTGATCCTTAGTACAATGGTTAACAAATCTGCAGATCAGAATTTACCAATCTGTCATTCTTTAATGGATTCTAAAGTAGACACAAAATTAAATTAGCTACATAAAAGTCCAAAGCAATTTGTTTTGACTTAAAAACAAATCTGAACCCTTGCTTCTTGCAAGGACCACACAATGTCTTCAATTATACCTAGAAAGGGCACCATAGTGTTACTCTGTACACATCACTTACCAACAATAAATAATACTACACCACAGTATTGTAAAATATATCCAGACACTTCAACAGTGAACATCTCCATATGCGTCTTTATTCTAAAACCAAAGGAAAACATTTAACCTTTTACCCGCTGGTTACTTTTCAAGCCAAAATAAGTTCTCTTTGTTTTATTTTATTTTATAAACTGGCCGTTTTCTAAAAAGATGAAATTTAATAAAAATATTAGGTATATTCATTATTGTTAAATCTTGGCTTTCACCCAGCATGCATGTTAGAAATCGTGATTCACAGCACGTGAAAGCTATCTTGCAAACACATCTTAAACTCTTGTTTGTATTTACTTCAAATTAAAACCCTTGCCAAGAGAAAAGTTTAAATCCAATGCTCAGAACAGACATGCCCTTAGTGGAAGCTATTTAAAGATAACAAGGTTAAATCAAGGTTCTCCCTACCTTGAGAGGAATTTGCAACATCACATACCCCTCTTCTTCCAATTCTAGATGTAAACTAAATTCAAAGAGCAAAGGAGAGATGTTTTTGCCTCTGCAGTATTGTTAACTCTGTCTAAAAGTACGACTGACCCTGACCAGCAGGTTCTTCGAAAGATAAGGGTCTTCGAAACTGAACCCCTTCAAACAACAAGGTAAAAGCTGCAGAAGAAAACACTGCTCTTTTCTTCCTTTCCTTTTATAGGCTTCATCTTTGCCCAGAACAACGTGCTCAGCAGGTGGGGCGCAGCAATCCCTTCATTCTCTCAGGACTGGCTGATATTGCAAATGAAATAAGCAGCCTCACAAATGCAGACAACCTGGAGATAAACAGGCGACATCCTCTAGGGTGGAGGAGGGAGGCGGCTTCTAAAGTTGCCTTATCAGGAAAGTCAAGCCCATGCTTCCTTTTAACTATTGTGTATCCACCCCCTACCCCCAGGAGATGCTGGAGGAGTCAGAGTTATATAAAGCTTCCCGCATTACTTCTCATTTGAGAGAACACCTCCAAGATAGTGTAGTAAAGTGCAGGTTTCCCCTTCAAGGGCTACCATTAAGCACCAGTTCCAAATCCAGGAAGTCAGCTGTGGGAAACCTCGCCAGTGCTGCTACTATTTTACCTATTTTGTGTAAATTTCAGCCACATTCCCAGATTACAAAGTGGAACCCACAGAATTTGTAGAATAACAAACAGCCCTTGCATTTTATTACACCGAGAGCTCTGGAAAGATCCGCTAACAGAGCAAGATGCAGACCTACAGCACTCTTATTTTTGCATGTATGTTTGCGTGTAGTTCTTTCAGGGAAACAGGACTCTCCCCTCTCTCTCTCTTTCTAATCTCGGTTGATCTCAATGCTTCCCTCCTTCCCACCCACCCCCTTTTTTCCACCTACCGAATAAGAGCATAGCAAGAGAAACATTTGCTCCCTTTGGGGGGGGAGGGGGGGGGGAAGAGAGAGAGAGATAACGCGATTCACCACTTCCAAAAACCGAAGTCCACTCACTTGCTGAGCAGAAATGCCATGATTTGCTAACTCTTGCTAACTGGGATTGGGAAAAGGGGAGAAAGGGGCTGGGTTTTATCCTGTGCACGCATGGGGAAGTTTAAAACGCAAAGTGCTCCTTGTATGCTGTGGAAAAACCCATGTCGTGTTGGCTGGGAGAAGGGAAGCCTAAGGGGGAAAAAGTTCTCTGCCCATGAATTTCTGTTTTGTCTCAGGAGCCTTTGCAGCACACCCCCACCCCATCTCCATCGCGCACACACCAACCACCTCTTCTTCTTTGAAAGTGCTTTGAAACCCCCATTAAGGGCTGAGTGTGTGATCAGACTATGGATTAGGGCAAAAGGGACTTCACCATCGGGGTGGGGCAAACTGACAGACAAATAGCTTGCTGCAAACACCAGCACCTTTCAGAGGCTGTTGCAAAGTAAACCACCACCACACATATTAAGCCTTTCCGTGCCCTCCTCCCCCCAAACTGCTTCAGTCCTACACAACATATAACGAAACCCGGGGAAGAATTTACTCCCTATCATATAGACGATCTATTTAACTTTATCGCATGGAAAATATATTTATAGCAGGCGTGAGCTCACTTCCGAATTGCACAAGTCTCTCAATGCACTTAAAGAATAGTGTCAGTCTTCTATTTAAACAGAGATGGCTAAACGCACCAAGTACAGGGACCAAGCAGCCCAAAGGCGATACAAATAAACGACCCCCCCAAATCCTACCCAAAACCCATGGAATGCTTTGAGATACGAGACACCCAGGACTTCCCCGTCTCTACCTTTCAGGGGCATGTTCCTGCGACTGTAGGAGAATACAGTTTGCAAAGAAGTCACCGAGTTGCTTCGAATCCTTGCAATATTTCGTAGACATTGCTCCCTGCAAATGCTCAAACCTGAGTACAGATTTCCGCCCTCTAAACTCACCCCCGCCGCCCAATGGCGCGGAGCTGGGGGGGCTCCCTCCCTGCAAAGTCATTTCTGAGGGGAAACAAACACGAAACAGCCCTCAGAAACCATCCGATGCTCCCCTCTCCCCGCCGAACTTCCCCAAGAAAGAAAAAAATATCGCTGAAATTCCACTTCCAACTCCTGGGGGGGGGGGGAGATAGGTTCACGGATTGAAAGGGGATCGACCTTACACCTACATTTCCACGAGCTCCTCGGAACAATCTGGGCTCTTAAAAAAAGCTTGTTTTGCAAAGAAGGAAAATGCTCTCACCGTGATCGCGGCACTGCACCAACCCCCCCCTCTCTCTCGTGTTTTCTTCTTCCTGCGGTTTGCAAGTAAATCCAGCCTAAAGCAGCAGCAAAAAAAAAAAAAAAATGTAAAAAAATAAAAATACAAAAAATCTTTTCCAAACTCAGCTTTAGTCCAACTTGCAAATCATCATCACCATCATCTCAAAAAATCCAGAGCAAAGTGACCTCACTGTCCCCAGATCGATTATAAATATAAACCTCTATGAAAGGTCTGCAGGTCGGGTGGGTATTTCTTAGCTCCTAAAAAGAAATCACTCATACACTGTTTCCTCTTCCCCCCCTTCTCAATCGCCAATACCAAGTCACTTTTTGTTGTTGTTGCAAATGATCAAGGGGCGGGAGGGGAGGGGAGGGAGAAGCCAAAGCAAACACAATAAAGTGGATCTAAAATACAATCCCAAAGCTTTTCTTCCACTGAGCTCCTCCAAAAAAGCAGCCTATGCAATGTAGCCGTTCTGCTGAGAAGCTGCAAGCTCCCCTCTCTCTCTAGCTTTCTCGCTCCCTCTGTGAGCGTGTGAGTGTTGCAGGCAGCGCTGTGGTTTGCAATCAGGGGGTGTTTTGGAAGCGCAGCGGATTTGTGGTGGTGCCTGTTGTTGTGTGTTTGGAGGAGGAGGAAGATTTGAGATCTGAGCTGCAGGGGCTTGGCGTTTTTCTGCTCGCGCTCCCTCTCTCTCTTTTCCTTTCCGGAGGAGGTAGGGTGATCTCTCTGCAAAAGCAGCAGTAAATGGCGTCATGTGGATCTGAGGAGGAACAGAGCAGTTGTTGTCCCAGAGGATATATCGCATCCGGTCCCAGCTCATTGGCTCTGCGGGGCTACATTCACTCACACTCCCAGCGCCCTGCCAGCACTCTGAGCCGCAGGAGGCATTCAAAAGGGCAACGGCACCGAGCAAGCCAGAGGGGGAGGCGGACGACTTGCACTGCAACTGCAAGCAGAGCCGCCGCTGCTGCTCTATTACTGTTACAACTGCTATTCCCGCTGCTGCTTCGGCCCGGCCTCGCCACCCCAGTGCTGCCTAGCGCAGCAGCAACTCCCTCCTAGGGCCGCTGGGCCACTGATTTTTGTAAGAGGCTCCTTCGTACAAAGTAACACAACACTTAGTACGTGCGAGACACTCGGGCAGACTAAACAAAAGGCTACGTGGGACCCTCAGGCGAGCTGACTGGTTACGCTGGATTGAATTGAAGCCCCTTGAGGTTGAGTTTTAGAAGAAAATAAAAACTTTCAGGTGGTATTTTTTTTTTGCAGTAGAACTAAATAGAAGTTAAAAACGCCCCCTCCCCTTCCTTTGCATTGTAGTTAATCCAATCGCCTACCACTTCTCGGCCGAAGGAGGGGGTATTAGTTTGGGTACGGGCTGCTGCGTAAACACGATCATACACCATGTTCTAGTACTAGCCACACCACCTGCTCCCCCAAATTAGTGGCTGCGATAATAAGTGGAACGCGGTGTACCTCAGACACCAGCTATCTGCTCAGGACATACTTGTCCTCTACACAATGGAATGAGTAGCACTCTGATTTTGTGTGTGTGTGTGTGTGTGTGTCCAGAGGATCAGCATGCTGCAGTGCGGTGTACTGTACTAAAAACCAACAACAAAAAGAAAGAGGGAAGGAAAGCTCCGGCCTCGTTGCTAGGACTGTGGATACACTGTCATTCATGTGACAGTCAGAACTTCATTTGTTTAAGGTAGAGGGTATACAATGAGTCGGAGGCGCTATAGCGCTATACAACTTCGAGAGCATCAGTACCTGTCACTGGATACGGATAGTGTTTTTATTTAAGTTCAGTTAACATATGGGACGGTGTCTGAAAACAACCCAACGTTTGGTTTATGGGCATTGTATGTTATAGTAATGGCACAATCCCCTCTTCTCTGTATTGGCAGGCACCTGTATTTTACTGGGTGAAATAATTGGTTCCAAAAACTGCCACGTTCCTTACTGTGTATTTTATGCCAAAACATACATAGGCGCACACACACACAAAACCCTATATTCACACGTGTATGCAGAACCTATTTTGCATGGTTTTATCTATAAGAAATAAAAGTCCGCAGTAAATTGCAGGGCTGCAACTTTTTTTTATGGAAGGGGCCCCTGAAATTGCTTTGCCGGGCTCGGGCCCCCTGAATCCTCTGGGCAGCCCTGGTAAATTGTATTATTTACATGAGCATTCACATAGCAAAAAGTCTTGTACGATCTCTATCTGGTCTGCCTGCACATCCTCTTTTACATATACCAGCTTTGTGAATTAGATGATCATCTATCTCATGAAAATAAAGTGGATGGTGTATTACACCTTCACCTATTCTCTTTATCTGTAGAGATCTATCTATCTATAATATATACACACACACAAGAAAATTAACCACAGCTAATTTATTAGTAAGGCAAGTCTATGGTTAATCTAACATCCTCCTTTGAAAGCTCACTAGACTATCTAGGACCATTGCACTGCCTGTTTAATTAGACTGCTGTTGTTTCCGAGATATCTGCGCAGGGTGGTGGTGTTGAGATCGCGGGCTAGAGGGAATTAGTTGCATTCAACATATTCTCCGCTTTCGTGTAATTTCAGTGACGCAAGTAAAGCGGACGGATCTGTGAATTACCGTCCTGCCCGAGAACAAAAAGCCAGGGAGGTGCAGCTTTGCAAAGCTGGGCTCCATTGAGCCCTCCTGATGAATGAGAGGCGGCTGCATGCCGGGTCCCCACTAGAGGGAGCACAGAGTCGGTCGGCCAGAGGAGCTGCCGTGTGAGCTGTCTGGGTAGGAACAGCCAGGACTTTCCCCACAACAAGAAGCGCTCGGCGGTGTTCGAAGCAGCCGGGAGGGCTGCCCGCTTGCCCAGTCTTGCCGGGCACGGCGCGCAGCTGTTGCGAGAGGCGGTCCGGGGAAGCGCAGGGAGGGGGGCAGAGGAACGCGTGCGCTTGCCCGTCGTTGTGTAACGCTAACCGGGAGCCGCCGCTAGCGACCAAGCTGCACTGCAGGCACCTTGCCAGTCAATCCCAGGCTGCGCAGGTAAGAGCCCCGCCTTTCCACGCACACGGCGGCGCTCAGTGGCTGCCCGCGAAGCCCCACCTAGCCCGCCCTGCCTCTGCTGCAACAAGTTTTCCCTCTCACCTTTTCTTCTTTGTGCTCTACAGTGGCTAAATTGTTCAGGGGCTGCCCACAGGAGAGTCCCCGGGACCTAGCTCACCTGCCCGACGCTCCCCGGGGCTTTTCAGCAAGGGGCTTTACCGTAGGCGTCTCAGATCATGTGCTTGAAGGACGTCTGGCCTGGAAAAGTCAGTATTTCCGTGATTTACAGTGAGGCTGGACAGTTCTCCTGCCTGAATTGCCTACAAGTTATAGCTGGGCCTGACCCGCTGAGTGTACACTTGGATCAGTTTAGCTGCATTTCCCCACTTGGGAACGGGTATAATTGAGCTTGAGGAGTCTGCTTTGGCTGTGAAGGTTAAGGAATTCAGATTTGGCTGTTTAGTTCAGGGCCACATCTACTTCAGATCAACCATTAGGAGGCAAACAGCAAAGACTATGTTGGTTGGGGAGAGGGATAGCTCAGTGGTTTGAGCAGCTGCTAAACGCAGGGTTTTGAGTTCAATCCTTGAGGGAGTCATTTAGGGATGGGGCAAAAATCTGGTGATTGGTCCTGCTTTGAGCAGTGGGTTGGACTAGATCAGTGGTCTCCAAAGTGGGGTGTGCACAAGAGGATTCGTGGGGGTGCATGGCAGGAGGAGAGCTTTTTTTTTTTTTTTTTTTTGCTTTGGCAAAAATGGTAGAGCCGGCGCAGCAGAGGGTGCGTGCTCAACATTTTTTTACTGATAGGGGTGCGCGATCAAAAAAGTTTGGAGACCACTGGATTAGATGACTTCCTGAGGTCTCTTTCAACCCTGATATTGTATGAATTGTAGTTCTTTTGGCAAGGTACAAAAAATCAGTTCTTGCCAAAAACAATCTCCCTCTCCCCAAATTAGAGCAGTTTAAAAACATAGATATTAGAGATGGAGAAGATTTTTTAGGTCACTTTTTAAAATCGACAAGCTGTGTAGTGTAATAGTGTTCACAATATTATTATTTTTATAGCAGCCAGCAGTATGGTAGACATGTTAGACTCCACTCCTTCAAATGTACATGTATTTGACATGTGAATAGTCCCAATGAAATATAGGAAATCAGTCTGGTTATTCATATTCCCAAAGCTAAGCATATGTGTGTTTTCAGGATCAAGGCCTTACCGAAAAGCTAAAAAGACTGCATGTTAGAGTTTGTTTATACTTAAAATGCTACAGCTGTGCAGCTGTAGTGCTTCACTGTAGACACTACCGTGCACCTACAAGGAGGGTTTCTCTTATCAGCATAGGTAATACTCCTCCCCGAGAGGCAGTAGCGGGGTTGACTGGAAAATTCTTCCCTCGACCTAGTGCTGTCTCAACAGCGACTTATATTGATAGAACTTTGCTGCTTAAGGATGTGGATTTTTCACATCCCTGAGTGATGTAGTTATGCTGACCTAATTTTCTAATGTAGACATGGCCTTAATCCTTATGAATTTACAAATTTAGGGCTCGTCTACACTGGCAATGCTAAAGCGCTGCTGCCACAGCAGCGCTTTAATGTGGCTTGTGTGGTTGCGGCAGAGCGCTCTAAAAAACCCATCTCCCTGAGGGCTGTAGCTCCCAGCACTGGGAGCACGGCTTCCAGTGCTGGTGCACTGTCTACACTGGCGCTTTACAGCGCTGAAACTTGCTGCACTCAGGGGAGTGTTTTTTCACACCCCCTGAGCGAGAAAATTGCAGCAATGTAAATTGCCAGTGTAGACAAGCCCTAAGGAATCAGTCCTACAAATATTTATGTACATGTACATTAGCTGTATTCATGTGAATGGGCTTATGTGTAAATCTTTACAGGCTCAGGAACCGCAAGCTAGATTATCCAACCTTTATGTTGATGAGCACTTACCCACGTGAGTAATTCTATTGAACTCAATGGGAGGTAGATGCCTAGGTGCTTTTGAAAATCACTAAATATCTTTAAAAATTGAGGCCAAAGATACTACTTAGTGCAAGTAAGTGAGTTCAGTAGGTGTTAGCTAGTGAGGCCCCAATCCTGCATGTCCTGGGTGGTGCACTATACAGGCGTATGTTCATCTGAACAGTGTGCCTTGGAGGATCAAAGCCATGCTCAGTTTCCCCTGTCGTGACTTTCACAGAGCGACTGGGGTGAGAAAAACAATTGACAAAGAGGAAAATGTGACTGTAAAATTCCAACATTTGTCAGTGTGACCCAGGCAGATGTAGTACCGAAACTATGTTTGAATTCATTTTATGAAATGAGTTCAAACTATTTTAAAGTGGAAGGTGTCCCATTAAGAAAAAAATATGCAAATGCTCCAAAACTGCTGGGGCTATTAGGGCAATAAAAGTTTACTGGTAAATTTTAACCACTGGCATGCTGGCACTTTCCAGATAGTCAGCAAAAGAAATAATCCTGCAGCCTTTGTGAAATGAAGTGGCCTAATGTTAGTCCATGCAATTATGTCTCCCCTAGTGGCTTGCACTGATGACTGCACAGTCTGCTACTTTCAACAAGAGTTTGACTTCAACTCAAGCAGAAGCCTGTGTTTTCAGTGCTCTTGTTCTTGGGTTCATTCCCAGCTGAGGACCGCCGTACATGTATATATGTGACCAGGGTTTAGTTACACTAGCAATTCCAATCACCTCAGTTAGAGATTTGCCCATGTAAGGACTGCAAAATCAGGTCCTGGTAGGATTTCTGCTGCATCTAAATATTGAAAATGTACCTTACATGCTTTTATTTAATTTCCATTGTTCAGGCTGCAGAGAAGAAAAATGCAATGTACTTCCCTTTTTCAAAAATATATAGGTGATTGTTCATCACAAGGGAATGGCAGTTCAGGTTGTTTGGTGCCTCCTCTGAGCATTTTCTACATTTATATCTTGAGTTAACGTGGCAATGTGAAGGTATGGATTCTGGACATCATGTACTCTCTACACATAGCTATTACTGCCTAGTAATTCCATAGAATCCTAAACCTTTAATTGATTTTGTCTTTCATGTTTGAGCCTTTGAAAAAAGTTAATGTACATTAGGGAGCTATTTATAGTAAAATTGGCTTATATGAGTGGCTAGTCTGAAGTCCTCTGCCCATTGATAAAATATTAAGTTGAGATTTTCAGAGCAGTCTAGGGTATTTATACCCACATTTTTCATTGAAATGAGTGGGTGATATCTGCCTACACCTATTAGACAGCTTTGAAAATCTCAGCCTAATAGCTTATTAGATTTCACTTGGGATGTTTATGTCCCTGGTTCAAATACCTTTCATCTCAGTTGTATGATTTTCATTACAGGTTGAGAGGAAGAAATTTTGGGAGTCCAGCTGGGAGGGGGAGTCAAAAGGTAATATTTTGACTTTGTACCTAGTCCCAAGGGGCATGGAGGACCTGTGACTCCCACTGAAATCAGTGAGTAAAGTCCTGAAACAGAATGGCTACCTGCAACTCGACCTAATTGTTTTAGTGGTGCTCAGTACCCTTCCGGATCAGGCCATTGTCACTAAGAGCTGTCCAACAGTGTCTGTCTTCTTTGGTGAGATAACAGGCTTGATCCTAAACCACTGTACACCACTTGAGGATCTGGCCCAATATATCTAGGGACATGTAACAAAAAGAACATTTTCTAGTTGAATATCAAATATATATCTATACAACATTTTTTTTCTCCAGATCCTAAAATTGTCCTAAAGAAAAGGGTGTGTGTGTGTGTGTGTGTGTGTGTGTGTGTGTGTGGATTCACCACAATTATGTGCATAGGAACTGTTCTAATAAAACAGGAGCACTAGAATTATTTGATTATATTTATATTAATAAGATCATTAGAGTTACTAGAATTGTTATATACTTTCCTTCTTTTTCTTAAATAATAAATTTCATGACTCAGTTTTCTTTTCTTATAGAGTCTAACAGCATATTCCTCAAAAGTGGGAAATTGCTGTGAAGTGAATGGATGGAACATCAAGCTTTCGTACCCACAACTTGGGAAGCTCTGCCTTAGCCTTTTTTCCCTTAAATTTTCAAATGCTGCTGCTGGTAGTTGGAGTGTGAGTGAGGGTGTAGACAAGCATTTTAACTGCTGTGTTGTCCTGATCTGCTTTGAGCAGGGTTAGATAGGGTGACCAGATGTCCCGATTTTATAGGGACAGTCCCGATTTTGGGGTCTTTTTCTTATATAGACTCCTATTACCTGCCACCCCCTGTTCCGATTTTTCAGATTTGCTGTCTGGTCACCCTAGGGTTAGATGACCTGACGAGGCTCAGCTACACTAGAGTTTTACCTTGAATCAATTGATTGCGAGTGACTTTGAATTAGTTAACACATTTGTGAGTAAAGACTAGTTTTGACAAATATTTGCCCAAACATTTTTTTTCCGCATGCAAATGCTTCTGGTTTACTCTTAGGCTGAGCCTACTGAGGTCACTAGCGGGAGACAGTGGAGAAAGGTGGTAGAAATTGTGGGCTATTTTAGGGAAAAAGAGATGGCCCAAGAGGCTGGACTGTGAAGGAAGGTCATTGGAATTTTGGCAGTTTGAGACATGTGGCATGCAAATTAGTAAGGTGCTGTCTGGGCTAGTTTAAAACATGGTTCCACTTGTAGTTTTCCTCCAAACCAAGAGAAGCATATTAAGCAATTGTTAAATATTCTCATCTTTCTATCAGGGCCTGGAAGCTATGTTCTCATATGTGAAATCTTTTTACCCTTTGTCTAAGTGGCTTGTAAAAAATCCTAGAAGCAGAGTTGGCATAGACAGCATGCGGATGGGGACCCTTGTTAATGAGGAATGAATTCTAAGTCATAAGAAACATCAAGAATGCTTCCTCTCCCAACACTGTCTTTAATTTTTGTCATAAATGTGTTGCTTCTATTAAGGTAATTGTAATAATACTAATAATAATTGACAAAGACCCTTATCCTACAGTCAGATCCACACAGATTGACT